AGCATCTTCAGTTCAGTCATTAAAAAATTGACATTAAACGCATACACAGTTCACTGTATGTATGGGACATATCATGTGATGTCCACATCATATAAACCACCAAAGTGAGCAATCAGTGTTTAATAGGAAACAGCACTAATCACAGGTGTTACAGGTTCTACAGATGTACAGAGATGAGCATGACCCACATTAGAGCTCACAGATTCTGCAGAGGTATTACTAATCGAAATCACAATATCACTTCCTCCAACTATTTGTATTACTCTGTTAAACTGTAAACATTTAATTAATTTCCAGTGTTTACATTTTGCCAATAGAATGATTGTTTTTACATAAATATGGAAATAGTAATGCTTCGCAAAAACCCAAGACTAGTGACGCCGGCTTTATTCCAGTGTTTAGCTGGACAAAGAGAAAGAGGAATTCATCAGATTATGCCAGTGGCTGAATAACACCATAGCATAGCAAACCCCTGCCATTTTACATCTACAACTACACATTTCCAAAAAGGTGGGACAGATTGTCTGGGTGATGTATACCTTACCCCTTTTCCCAAAAACAATAAATCAATAAAAAAAACTGTCCCAGAACTCTCACCCAATTGTCCTCACAGATTCTAGATCTTTAGTGGAGATTTGTTTGTCAGGTTGTGAGCACAGATTTAAAAAGGCGAAACAGAATAAATTTATGACACTCAAGACAACAGGTCAGATACGATAATCACATGCTCTCTCCCAACTTCTCCCGACTTCTGAACCCTTCGCCTACCATTACAGTCCAACAGATATCAAAACAAAATAATTAATGTTTGGTCAAAAATACTCCAAATTAGAGGTAGAAAATGCATTACGAAGACCCTTGTAATATCAGGGCATTACATGAAGACATAACTGGGAAAACACATCACATGTTAAGAGTTTTAGAATGTTTAAATCTGTTGCCATCGATCAAGAAGGATAGCTGACGTGGGATTGCATAAAATCACAACATGACCCTACTATCATGTCAGTAAGATTGGATTACCTGTGCAGGCCAGTACATACTTTACTGCTCAGGGATGAGGGTGGAATGGTTCTAAAAATCCAAGGAATAGTTCAGAGTACTTGTGGAATTTGATTTCATATTGTCTTTGCACCTCAAATATCTGTCGTCTTAAAATGGTACAGGCGGGTTTAGAGTTTGGGCAGAAGCATTCAAACATACACAAACAGACAGTATCAGATGGACTATGGTATTCTCTCCGTTTGGAGGTGATGGTCCCATCTTGGTCACTCTTTAAACAGGAGTTGTAGCTTGTTCGGTCTGTTCTTTAGCGGAAGAAGCCAAGTTTCTCTCTTAGCCACTCCTCTGTCAGGTCTTCAGTGTTCCTTATTTCAAACACCTGAAAAAAAAAATTTAGAAGCCATTACCACTACACTGCTTTAATAAAAGAACATCAGTGGGTGTAAGGTCAAGTGTTTCACCTTGGTTAGTTCAACCGTCTGTACCAGTTTGTTTTTGCTGCCCGCATACATCATCTGCTGCTCAGGTTTGCATCCTGGGAAAGTGTGTATCATTTTAGAGAATTGGAGATTGGAGTTTGTGCATATTGAATTATTCATTTTTTTAAGAGATTTTTTTTTTACCAACAGGACTGGAGAAGATAAAACACAGAGGGTAAGACACTCTCCCATCATCATGCTGGTACTTATAGCTGTAGACTACAAATGTGTCACAGGTTAGGGAAAATAATGATTGTTCAATGTTGAATGGAAAATACATAAGTCACATAAGTTATTAGAGTTTAAATCAGGGAATAGTACAAAGTGACTTTATTTTAGTTAAGGATATCTGGGCTGTCTCTCTGGTAGCTCGTTCTTCAGATCTTCAGGGGAAATATCCTACAAGAAATCAAACCACTGAGCTGTTTAATTGTAATTACCACTGCAAAGCCGTCTATTATGCATTCATGCAATAACAGTGGTTATGAGATGGGTGTGTAAATTTACCTCATGCTCCTCCTCCAGAATCACCAGCTGTTTGTCTTTATCAATCTTCACTGTAAGCAGAGGAGAATACGGCAATATCAACATTCAATCCTCATGGTATATGAGAAAGTGTGAGCATGTGGACCAGTTTGAGTGTTTCATTTAAGTTCAACTCACTGATGATGGCAGCATTATTGGTTTCCTTCCTGAAGCGGAAATCACGCAACTTTTTCACCAGGTCTTCGTCCACCTCACACACAACTAAAGACTCACTCTGAACACACACATGTTTCTTATTACAAATTTTTTTTTTCACATTTTAAAATATTATCAAATCTAAAAATCGAAGAAGTCTATCAGCGGTTACATTTTATTTTAAGGTGTCCGATACAATACATTATGCAATTATACAATATTTGAAGTATGTGAATTATGTAAACCAAAAACAATACAAAAAATATTTATACATTTAGGAGAAGCGGTCAAGCAACAGAAGTGGACAGCAGCGTGTACGTGTATTTGTTTCTTTTCTCATTTGATTTTTGTTGTCGTTGCTACAGTATTAGACTAACAAGGGACTAGTCACAGCACTTATTGTTGCATATTGTTGCATAATTGTTAGTTTGATTGCTTCTAATTTTCTTTAAATTTGCAGTCGCTTCGGATAAAAGCATCTGCAGAATGATTAAAAGTAAATCAAATTTATATTTTGGTTTCTTTAAAATAACCATCCTTTGTCTAAATCACAGCTCAGCATACTCTCAGTCATATCATAACCATAGTTTATTAGGTGTGTCCAGAGACCACATTCAAGGCTGGTTTTCCTCAAGTCTTGTCCAAACTTTTGACTGGTAGTGTATAAATAATTAATCAACCTGAAAAACTTCCAATTACTGGTAATCTCTTTGAATATGACTGAATCATACAGCTTAGGGACACACACAGGGTTGAGAGTTTGTCAATTAAACTATATGAATTAGAAGCTCCAATAAGTGTTAAAATTAACAATCTAAATTAAAATGCTAGCTAGATGCACAATAATAAACTGACTTACTGACTAATATTGTAAGAACCACTGACCTATAAATCACTGACTGAAAAAGCAGAGTGGAAACTACAATGTATTTCTTCTGATTGAGAAATTGTTATTCTGTTAACAAACTCTAATTCATATCAGTTCAATATGATGCTACAGTATATTAACAATAAAACCTCCTGTATACTCGAACACACAACAACATCCAGCTGTATGGGGTCTTCAGAGATTAGGAGTTCATTAGGAGACATTAGTTCATTATGACACTGAGTATGGGTCATCAGGAGGAGAACAACACTCACTTTCTTAGCTGTTGATGTGGCGGACTAAGTGAGCAAACGTGTTTGTCGTGCAGTGCTGGTGGAATGCGAAGAATTTATTTCATTGCATTGTTTGCCATTTCTGCTCTGATTAAATTACATCTTTTGATCGTGACTTGTGCCATTCCAAGAAAAGGAGCCACACCGTCTCTTTGTCACTCAGATTTTCCAACATTTCCTTGAAATACTGAAGTGTGAGCGGAGCACGTCCCTGCCCGCAACAGGAAATGAGAATTCCCCCGGAGCCGCCGGAATTCCATCATATCACTATTATGTAAGGCAATCCTATATCGTGAAAATCCTAAACAGAGTTTTAGGGTAAATGTAACGCCAAAAGCGTCTTTATTCTGGTAAACTTTATAAGTCGGAGTAATGCAGAAGAGGGTTTGACATGCAGCTCATCACAAAGCACTGGGTGGAACTGCAACAGGGTTAAAAAAAACCCAACAACCTCTCTTACATACACATATCACTGACCCTGGAGGCCTACGGCGTTATTTGGAAATGCTTCGGTATTATTATACATCCTATAGGACAACGCCGCCATTGAATTGTTTGTATTAATCCAAACCAGTTTTTGTACTCACCATTTTCACAGACAGCACGAGCCCAGCAGTGCAGCAGGAGTTATACCGTGCCGCGTCTCGTGACGTTCGTTTGACCAATCAGAACGCCCGAACGCGCCAGGCTTTGAGTGGCTGACTGTTCCAGGATCAGTTCGTTTCACCCATAAAGGGACGAGCTCTATCTGATCCCAGAACAGCAGCGTTTTGACATGAACTCAGACTGTTCATGGAAAGAACTATCGAATAATTGGTTATATCTCTCCCATAGATTGTATAAAACGAGATCTCTCCGCATCTACAGGGAAATTAAAAGATTTGGTTGGATTACTATCTGTTCTAACAGCTAACTATCTACTATATCGAATTAATTCTTCTATCTCTCCCATAGATACATTTTATATAATAAAATTAAATAATATATACATATATTAAAATATAAAACCATATGTAACAGATTGAAACACCCATTTTACAGGGACCCTCGTCATGATTGAATATATAACATTTTGTTTTCGCACAAATTTTTAAGCATTTGAGTCTTTTTTTAATTTCATATATTTATTGTAGTCAAGGTTTTTTTAATGGGAAATGTAAATGTATCAATAACTTAAAAAAAAAAATCTAAATACTAAAAAATCCCAAACTGTATTTTGAGCGACAGAAAAATTACACAAATATTGTTCAAATTGTAGATGTCCCAAATTTTAGGATCAGGGTAACAATAAATAAATAAATAAAATCTTTTCATATATTGTACGTTGACAATGAACATTTTGTCAACCTTCATATCAACATTCACCAGTTTTTGGAAAATGTTTACCTTTTCAGGCTGTGTTCGTGGAAGGACATTTAAAAAACCGGAAAAGTTTATAAACCAGGAGGAGTATGGTTCATTTTATTATGGTTGTTTTATTTTAAGCACAACACCCCCCTCCCCACTCTCCGTCTCAGTAACCTACGCATGCGCAGATAAACCGGCCCATCCCTCAGATGACACGCCCATCGGGGAGCATGCGCGTGTATAGCGCTCATATCTGATCTATAAACACAGTAGATTGATCTGTGCCTTTAACTACAGCGTTAAATGTCTCATCCATATTATTTGATGCTCACATTGTTTTCAAACACGCCGTTGAAAACCCTCATTATTCCAGTTATCACCTCACTTCCTGTATAGAGTTTAGTAATAGCTACTGACTTTCGGATCTTTTCGGGCGACGGGACTGGTGCTGCTCAGAAACCCGAATCTTCGGACCGCAGGCCCTGATCCAGCCGAGGTGCTTGTGCTCACTAAACTGCTCATGTTTCAACCAAAATGCGCATGTGTATAGATGACAGTTCAATTTGCGTATAGTTAGAATGGTGCCTGATTTCATCTTAAACCAGATCATTTTTAAATGTATTGTGTTTAAATAACCATTTGCGACAGTGTGTTCAATCCAGTGACGTATCTCTCTATGAATAGCGTCTTTATAAGTTGTCTTACATGTGCTAGATTTTTGACAGTTGATTTGTATGCAATTGCATGATATTAAATGTCACTTCTTGTTTCTCTGTTAGGCCATGGCAGACTTTTCGGTAAGTTTTTTAACTGTTTATGAATAATTATTAAATTGGTCACTTGAATCATTTTGGGCTTGTATTTCCTCCTGTGTTAATTAAATAACAAACTTTGTAATTGTATCCATGTTACTAGCAGTAGAAATGACTGTGCTAGTAGACTTGGTTATTTACATTTCCCATCAATTTAATTTTAGCAAATATATTCAATAATTCTGTATAGTCATAGATATACCAAAATATACAGTATTAAATAATACAGTGGGGTCCAAACGCTTAAGACCACTAGTGGAAAAGACACGTTTCTACTGAACATTATATATATAAGAATGGACAATAGAAACAGGTTTCACTTTTTTTCTTTTTTTTTTTTTTTTTTTGCTTTTATAACTCCACAAGTGAGATCAAAACCTGATGATCATGTTGTCCAGCATAATTTGAGATGATTTCAGTTCACTTCAGTTCACTAAAAGTTTATTTACAAGTTTAATTTAAGTTTTTAGTCCCATATCTTCAATCTGGTCTCAGTCTTTTGAACTCCACTATTTGCCCTAGTAAGTCTTTGGCTTTGCACCGATAATAACAGATCAAAAGTCTTTTTGATGAAAGTTCAATTGATGTTTCATTTGCTGTGATATATCTCCTGCATCTTCTTTCTGTAGCTTGCTGACGCAATCCCAGATGATGTTTCTGGTGAAGCATCAAAAACTAGGCACACCAATCCATCAGCTCCTGGAAATGGTGCTCCGCCCCCCACTAATCCTGGATGGCCTGGTGCGGCCCCTGGTGGCCCTAATTTCCCATCCTCAGGAGGCCCTGGCCAACCAACAGCCCCCTCTGGCTTTCCCCAGAGCGGGCCTTCTGCCCCTGGTTCCTTTCCACCCGGCCCAGGAGCCCCGGGACAGTTTCCAGGAGCCCCAGCTGCCCCGGGTGGATACCCTCCAGGTCCGGGCGGATACCCTCCGGGTCCGGGCGTACCTGGGCAGTTCCCCTCCAACCCTGGAGCTCCAGGACAGTTTCCCTCGATGCCAGGTCAGTTCCCACCAGGTGGGGCACCCATGCCATACCCTGTTCCTGGACAGTTCCCTTCCCCACCTGGGGCTCCACAGGGCCCATATCCAAATGTGCCTTACCCACCAGGTCAGTCTGGGCCTGGCATGTACGGTCCAGGAGGCCCTGGTGCCTTTCCACCAGATGGAGGCCCAGGATATGCAGGAGGAATGTTTCCCCCAATACCACCAGGGTCCTGGGGTACACACGGAGGGGGCTTCCCTCCTCAACCTGGCCCACCAGGAGGCTACGGTCCAGGGCCCATGGGACCATACGGAGGGCCTGCAGCTCCAGGTGGAATGCTGGTGAGCAATTATGACCGAATGAATGGGTGTATATTAGGGCTGGATATTGACACAAATTTCAAGATTTGATTCGACATCAGTCCACAGGCTTGTGATTCAATTCAGTTTCTAACTCAATTCATAAGGATATACTGATTATCAGGTACAGTTACGTGAGAGTTATATTTCTCCCTGAAAATAAGTGATAACTAATCCTGTAACTATATATGGGCGAACCCTGTCAGTTGGTACATTACTATTGAATAAAAGGTTCAAATTAACAGCTGATTTGTATACAAACATTTCAATTTTTTTTTAATAATATAATCTTTTTATTTGAGAAAAATTAAGTTTCTACTCCAATTCGATTTAAATATTTAAACGGTTGCTGATGTAAGAACTTGTTTTCATGAAAGATTTGTTCAATATGTATTAATGTTGAACAACACGTTAAGTAAAAATATGATAAAAATGTAATGTAGTGCGCATATTTAGCTAAATGAACGAGTCTGTGGCGAGCGGGGCGAGGCCAAGGGCCGCGAGAGAACGGCACGAGACCGGTGCGTCGCGCTGGTGTCACTCATTATCAATCACGCCACCGCCCTCGTCCCGCTCGTCACAGGCTCCATTGAATGCCTTTTCTGAGGTAATATTATGTCACATATTTTACAAGCTGTTGTATTAGGGTCGATTAAAACACTGAGAGATTACATGAGACATTTATACCATTACATTTCAGTAAATGTACTATTTCTTTCAAACCTTCTGATGTTCATTCGTGTTTATTTTGTGCTGTAACTAGTAGTAAAGAAGAAGAAATTATCAGTTCACGTGCGCTCTGTGCTGCCGCTTTCCTCGAATCAGAATCGATTTCGGTTTATTAAAATGAGAATCGGTTAAAATCAAGAAATGAATATCGTCAACCCAGCCCTAGTGTATAAAGCGATTTGCATGTGTGAGTCCGCATATAACTGTGTGGGATTGGCTTGGTTTGGTGGTTGCTGGGGATTTGTTTTTCGGGCCTGCTGGAGTTTATTTTATCAAAGTGTTGGTGACATAAATCTTGCTTTCAGGGTTGTAGGTTTAGCTCTTGAGGTCTGGGATGTTCCTGCGGTGGTCTCATGCTTCTGGATCACGTTAAAACTACAGATCTCAAAAGCTCCTCTTCTTGTTTTTCAGCCACCATATAGACCTCCATATTTTTGAGCACAATGAACAGCTCAGCCAATCACAGGAGGAGGACAGCACTGCAACCATCACAAAGACCCCAGTTAACATCCAAACTGAGCTCTGGACATTTAGCACAAACTCATGCTGATATATTTGCATATCACCTTTGCAAACAATTGCACATATTTAATGTAGCTGAGACACTTTCTGCAAAGTACACTCGTGATTATTTTAATACTATTGACAGGTGTATGTTTTAATGATGTTAATGCTTAAAAAATAGAAAAAAAATAAATAATGCACTTTGTGTTTATACAACAAACAGATGTCTGTTATTGAAATTAAAGGTTTTTAAGGGGCTCAATTTATTGTTTGTTAAAAGCAGATATTGTAGGTAAGGCTGAGAAGCTCAAAACTTTGCTTATCTCTTATGCTTACAAGGCTATGATCAAAAAGACAGTAAAACTATTGTTATTACAATTTAAAATGACTATTTTCTATTTAAATATATTTTAAAATTGATTTTCAGGTTTTTTTTCAGGATTCTTTAATTAATAGAAAGTTAAAAAGAATAGAATTTATTGGAAATGGAAATATTTTGTATCATACATGTCTTAAATGTCACTTTTGATCAGTTTAATGTGTCTGCTGAATAAAAATATACATATATTTGACAAAAAATTCGTACTTTTCCCAACTTTTGAAAGGTAGTGTTTGTTTAATCAGACCAGACTTTTTTTCTCGCTGAAAGGAATAATGAGTCAGTGGGTGGGGTTTGGAATCAGGGATTGGCAGTTTATGAGATTTGTCACAGTGTTGCCATAGCAAAGTTGTTTATGAACTTGATGTCATGTGATCTCAGACGTGGCATTAGCTAAAATAAGAGAGAAAAAGGGGACTTGTTTGGGTGTTTGCTGTTTAGTATACATACGCTTTTATGACATTGAGTAACTAGCTTCTCTCTAGAGTTTTGTTTTTTCCAGTTTAAAGGGATAGTTCACTTCAAAATGAAAATTCTGTCATCATTTACTCGCCCTCAAGTTGTTTCAAACCTGTGTGATTTTCTTTCTTCTGCTGAACACAAAGGAAGATATTTTGAAGAATGTCAGTAACCATACAGTTAACTGGACCCATTGACTTCCATAGTATTTTTTTTCCTACTATGGAAGTCAATGGGTTGAAGTGAACTATTCCTTTAAGTTGGAAAAATATTCAGTTGAATTGAACAGTCCAGTTAAATGTCAGGAAGGGCTTCGTCTCATTTTGCACACTATGGAAAAGCCATGGAATTTTATAATGGAGAATAGAAGAAAGTTAGAGACATAATGAGTAAATGTATTAAAGATGAAACCTAACTACTTAGGTTCTATGTACTTAAAAGGGCTGGGCAATGATTAATCGCATCCAAAATAAAAGTTTGTGTTTACGTAATATATGTGTGTGTACTGTGTATAACTATTTTGTATATAAGAATTCACAAATGTGCATGTCTATATTTAAGAAAAATGTGTTATTAATATATAAAATATTAATATTGATATTTAATATAAATTATTTATATATATATATATATATATATACATGCAAATATTTTTTAAATATATACATGTGTGTATTTATATATTCAAAATAATTATACACACTACACACACATATATTATGTAAACACAAACTTTTTTTAGATGCGATTAATCACGATTAATCGTTGCCCAGGCTAGTACTTAATCACAATTTATTGGTGAATAGACATTGGTGGTGTCTTGAGGAGATTCCCTCCTTCTATGTAAAGTGCTTTGAGTACTCAGAAAATATATAAATGTAACAAATTATTATAATTTTATTAAAAGTTTTGGGGTCTGTAAGATACTTTTATTCAGCAAGGGTGTGTTAAATTGATCAAAAATTACAGTAAAACATTTTAATGTTAAAAATTTTTCTATTTTGAATAAATGCTGTTCTTTTGAACTTTCCATTCATCAAAGAATCCTAAAAAATGCATTTTGAGCAGCAAATCAGCAAAGGATCATGTGACATTGAAGATGAGTAGTGATGCTGAACATTCAACTTTGCATTCCAACAATCCAACTTTGCATATAATTTTAAATTATAATGATATTACAATATTACTGTTCATACTGTATTTTTGACAAAATAAATGCGTGTGAGATCATTTTAATGAGATAATTTATCCATTCATAAGCATAAGAGATTACCCAAAATGTTTGAACTGTAGTATATTTGTAAGAGATTGCAATTTTGTGTCTCTAATATTTATTGTGCAATCATATTTTGGAATATAGAGTTCATTTTAGGACAGAGATCATAATGTGTAGCTGCTTGCAGGTGTTTTCTTTGCAATTAGAGGTGCACATATGATTATTGGTGGATATTATTAGTTTTACATTTTAATAGTATCAGTTGTTATATGTAGTTATACGTGCTATTTTCCCTTATTTTTTCATTTAGATTAACTTTGCTGTCATCTAACACTTATTTTAATTAATCTCTGAAATCAAGTTAATCTGTGAAAAGAAAACACTAATAATTAATAACACATCTTTAGCAAATCTCAAAATTAAAATCCGGTTTTTATGCTGCATATTATTCTAATGTACACTTGTAGCATTTATGGTTAATGTTTACTTATTCCACCTTTCATTGGTTATCAGCCATAACATGCCAGATATTTCGTTTTTTGCATCCCTATTTGTAATGTCAATATCTACAATAACAAGGATGAAGGATAAACTCTAAATATATTCTTATTGTTGAGAATATTAAACCTGTTAAGGACTTCAAATAACATCTGTTGGTGTGTATGTGTGTTTTAGCCATTGCCATACGATCTACCGCTGCACGCAGGGATAATGCCCGGACTCCTGATCACTATTGTGGGTGAGCCAGTACCAGGAGGAGATAGGTAACACACGCATTTATGTAACAAAACACAGCATTACTTCTCCAAAGCAAACACTCACTTCTCTTATCTTAGGTTCCATGTAGATCTTGTGAGGGGTCGTGATGTGGTTTTCCATTTCAACCCACGTTTCCATGAGAACACCATCGTACGGAACACAAATTTTGATGGCTACTGGGGTCCCGAGGAGAGAGATGGAGGCTTTCCCTTTGTGCAGGGCAGACAGTTTGAGGTACGGGCTTCAAATTTATCTCAGAGAAGGAATGCCTGATTTCAGTTGAGTTCCCATATAGGCCACGTACAGTTTCAGGAGTGACAACCGCATTGAATTATGGGAGTGAATCCCCTGAATTATCATTCCTTGTACAGAACAAATGACTTAATCCTGAAATTGCTATTAACACTGTGGTAACCATAGCGAAGTCCTGGCATATTTTGTGTTTGGTATCTTCTATTTTTGACCAAAGTGATATGCATAAGCATCTGTAATATGGTTTGTTTAAAAAAAAAACACACACACACCTAAGGCAGACAGACAGAGTTAGGCTTATGTATGTTTCTGTCGATGGATACACATTGTGGCTTCCCCTAAACTTTGTTCTATGCGAGTGGCGTATTCTCTAACATGACCAGTCACTTACAGTACACCTGGGTGTTGATAGCGTGCGAGCGCAGGTGACACTTGAACAGCACATGTTGCTATCTGTGTTTAAAATAATATCATGTATACCTTGCTAATTTAAACATTTATTCGCAAGAAGTGTACTGCAAGCAAATATTAAGTTCTCTTTCAAGTCTTGTGCTTGAAATTCACACAAAAATGATGCCAACATGCCCGTCTAGGGGAGTATCCTAACAAATGTAAAAGGTTATGTCAAGTTAAATTGCATGAGAAAGATGCCTGAGTGTCATTTTGAATCTGTGCAGCATTATTTCTTAAAGTGACAGCAGCCTAATATTCCTGCTGTCTGTGTTTATAATGTAAATCATACAACAAAAGACAAGGACATCACTCTCTGCTCTTAACCGAATAGCTGCTGTAACTTTAAAAATGCAGTGAAGATTAAATTCCATGTTGTTTTACAATGATTACTTTATTCAATTTCTGTACTGTTACATACCTAAATAACCTGAAATGCACAGTTTATTTTATTTGTATTATTTGCTCTATTGTATTTGTTAATTTCTTAATTACATTGTTATTTGATAGTAGTCCTTTTTCCGAGCCGCACCGAAACCGTGACCTGGGAAAACAAATCTTTTCCCGAGTCAACTCGTTCATTTTGTTCATTGAAACAAATGACACGAAAAAAGATTCGTTCATTTTAAAAAAATTAGTTCGAACTAGAGAGTCACAAACGTGCATCACAGAACAGAGCAAGGCGACCATTTGAGCTTATAAAACTTAAACTTTGTTTTTTTTAAAATGAGCGATCATTTCGCTTGATAAGACCCTTATTCATTGTTGGAATCGTTTAAAGCCATTTGAACAGTTTGCACTGAAACTGTCTTTTGGACCTTGAACCGTTTGGTTCCCATTGAATTCCATTAAATGGAGAAAAATCCTGGAATGTTTTCATCAAAAACCTTAATTTCTTTTCGACTGAAGAACGAAAGACATGGACATCTTGGATGACATGGGGGTGAGTAAATTATCAGCAAAAGTTTTTTAAAAGTGAACTACTCCTTTAATAACGAACCGTGATAAATTAGAAAACCACAGGGAAAGACTACGAGGGTTGACTCATTCTTGTTGCCAGATCTTGTTAAAAAAAAAAAACAGCAAACAAGAACATGCATTTATTTTGGAAATACAGCCGAAATATTGCGACCTGCACCTACCTATTTTAATAACGGCATAAACTGGATGAGCCAAGCCCAATCAACAAGCCCAAAGACGCTTATAATAATGTCAACACTGCAAGAGCAAAGATGCCTACATAAACACAACTCTGCCTCTGTCAACGGTGGTTTGGTTAAAATTGCTAAACACAACGAGTCTTTGGTCACCGCAGCATCGTCAGATTTAAGATGAACTGCGGTGCAAATGTGTGCCGAACTGTGGGTTTAGAGCGGTAGGATTTTCTTACTGAGAACCAGAAGATGTGCGTTTGAATATGTCATTAACAACTAGTTGTTCAGTTCGGTTATAATATGGACTTACTGGTATTTTACTGAACTGTGTGTGTACAGAACAGGACTGAGCACTAAAAGGTGAATTGACAACCGAATTTATCTGCAGTTTTCATGACCCTAATGTGTTTGTGTGTGCAGCTGAAGATCCTGGTGGAGACAGACGGGTTTAAGGTGGCTGTGGACGGGGTTCATCTGCTGGAGTTTGAGCACAGAGCAGGCGGGATGGAGGATGTCACTCATCTGCACATAGAGGGAGACCTTACTCTGTTCAGTGCAGCCCCCAGCATGATCTGAAACACAGGGAGCCGTTTGACAATGTTGAGATGACACATTAAGTCATCGGTCTTTAAAAAGTACTTTATCTCCAAAAAAGTGGGACGAACAGAAATGAATAAAAGCTATAATGATATATCTGTTACCGGTCTCTCCATTGCAGATTAGTCAAACACATGATCGCCACTTGATCTAAACAATTGAAATACAGATGTAGAACAAGTTTTGACCCGTCTGAGAGGTCATCAGGACACTGCTGCGTGTCTATCGCAATGTGACGGTCTGTTTTGACCCGTCAGAATGCATTATGCTAGTCATCCTTTTGCATGTATACCGGAACATGACTAATTTTATAAAAAAAATCAAACGTATTGGCCAGCCTTTCACACGCTATGTTTATAGTTATCGATCATTAATTCAGGAAAACTGCAGACCAGAGCTGTGACACTGTGCTGAATTACATCAGATCAAAATGGCTGAATTATTTTTTATTTGGTATGAATGTTGGAAAATGTTTATTATTTTGAATAAAACCATAATAATTAAAGCATTGTGATAAAGGAGATGAGAAAGTAATTATGTTTGAATAAATGCTGTATCACCCCAATTGAAATGTGCTTGTTCATATTATGTTCTGCATGTTGATCTGCATGTCCACTTTTATGGTCAGTCTTACTCTTATTACATGTTGGTGCAGTCAATTTGACAATAATGCTCAGTGTTATTTACATGTTAAAATGTTTATTTAAAACACTGATATTAACACTAATATGAAGCAGAACATAGTATGTGCCAGACGCCAGGGATGCTCTTTCCTATAACATGTTTTTCAAAGACACAATTTCTGCACACATTGGTGAAGCTATGTGAGATTTCTGATGATTGTCAATACTGTTGCGTCTGATTGGTGAATGAATCATTCTTTTTGAATCGAATCTTTTTATTGATTCAATTGAACTGATTCACAAAACAAGATTCAGCTAAAATTTGACTATTTACCAACAATGAACCAGATTAAACAGTTTAAAAGGTTTTGATCCACTTCAAATGATGACTACTGTATACAGAAGACACTTTTTTGGCGGTCATGAAGTAATTAAATACTCAAAATAAGTACCTACTCAAGTGAGTATGCCATTTGGGACACAGCCTAGGTGTGTTTGACTTGAAGCGGATCAGTGTATGACATCTAGTACCCCAAGAGCGATTTGAAAGCTAACAGAGCCGCCTTTTCTCTAATCGCTCTCTCTGTACTTTAATATCATTCACCGATCGGTCTGCACAGCGCCGCTTCAAGTCAAACACACCTATGGCATACTCACTTGAGTAGGTACTTATTTTGAGTATTTAATTACTTCATGACCGCCAAAAAAGTGTGTTCTGTATACAGTAGTCATCATTTGAGGTGGATCGAAACCTTTTAAACTGTTTAAACTGGTTCATTGTTCGTAAATAGTCAAATTTTAGCTGAATCTGCAATTTGTACCAGGAAAAAGGTGCAAAAACTTTAAAGGCACTTTCACCAAAGACATGACTTGCCAATATGATCGAAGATTACATTTCCTGGTAGTAACTTTAGGAATTCAGACATACTTTTGTCTCATACTTTTTTCCGCCTACTATATAGGGACGTATTTGATTTTGGATGCAGCCATAGACATACCTCTTTAGTCACATACTGTTTTTCACCTACTATATAGTAGGGATGTTTTTCACCTACTAGTTTTATTCACATTTTGTTTTTCGCCTACATATAGTAGGCAAGTATGCGATTTGTACGCAATAATAGACATACTACTTTATATAGTAGGCAAGTATGCGATTTGTACGCAATAATATACATACTACTTTAGTAACATATGTTTTTTCGCCTACTAGGGAAGTATACAATTTTGTATGGAGCCATAGACGCTTCTTTAGTCACACACTGTTTTTCACCTACTATATGGGATGTAGGCCTTTGTGATTTCGGACGCAGCCATTGACATAGACCTACATTAGTCAAATACTGTTTTTCACCTACTATATATTTTAGTTACATTTGGTTTTTCGCCTACTATATAGTAGGCAAGTATGCGATTTGGACGGAATAATAAACATACTACTATAATTACATGCGATTTTTTGTCTACTATTTGGGAAGTATGCGATTTCATATGCTGCCATAGACATACTTCTTTAGTCACACATTCTTTTTCACCTTCTATATAGTATGTATGTCATTTTAGACGCAGATTTTGTGATTCTTTAGTTTCTTCCCCCCCTTTCTCCCCCCTGCGTCCAAATATGGGATTTGGACGCAGCCATAGACACACGTCTTAGTCACATTCTGTTTTTCGCCTACTATATAATTTGAGTCGCATACTGTTTCCCCCGTACTGTAAGTATGCAATTTCGGATGCAGCCATAATGTCTAAAAGATTTGTTCAAACGAGTCAACCGGTCACCAATTCACAGAACAGAACTATGGCAAGCCGTTTTAGCTTAAATTGTACCCAGCCTTGCCTTAGTGCACTGTCTCTTTCAAACAAGTCGAGTGTGCTGATTGTTTGGACATTTGACTGGTGTGGAAACACTTGCACAAATCTTAAAAATGAAACATACTGAAAATATGTATGAATTGAGTGTATTATAACAGTTTGAAAGAAGGTTTTTTTTCAGCCAAAAGATGCAAAATAATTATAGTGTTGAATTGTTTTTAATAAAATTACAATAATCGAAAAAAAGCAATAACTTCAATTGTCTGTAACAAAATTGGGACGTTTTAGAGCATGTACTAGACAGATTTCTTTACATATATGTGATGCAACATGGCGAACTGTTGCAAGAACCGACTCCCGAAGATAAATCAGGCGTCCCGTCACTAGTGTGTGCAGTGCACTTTGAAAGTGTTCCGGTGGTATCCGCTAGGGGGCGGTGACGGGTGCACTCGTGTCCCGGCAGCATTAGAGAGGAAGCAGGCGGAGTTCCGCACGCTTTATGAGGCTTTTTAGCTGTTTCGGGAATAAAAAGTAGAACTTTTCCGACATCATGAACGGATCCGCACACAGCGCGGCAAGCGTTACAGATATTACACTGAAAAGAGGCCCGGCTGGTAAGTTTGGCTCTCTCCTCGACTTCTGCGGCACTGTTGGAGCTGTTGAAACAGAGTTCAGTCCGGCGGTTCGGTTCTGTGCTGCGGGTTCGGCCCGCTTCAACAATAAGTGGCGTGCTGATTTAACAGGCGCCGTGAACCCGAACGGGAAATCCGATGATTTCCATTACACGAGAGTTAGACGAGTTGATCGGATTTATTCAGAGACGTTTCTGCTATTATGAAAGCGAAAGTTCAGAACCAGCTCAATAGACCATCAGCGATATGGGCCGACATATACAGATCCATTTCTGTCAGATTCAGGCACAATGTGTTTGGCTGATGTTGAAGTCTTTCAGGTGTTGTGGGTCTGGATTTGGGCAGGTTCTGAGGGCTGACAGTCTCAGCTGCCTGTTGACTTTGATTAAACTCTTATATAATGCGTTGGTGTGTGCGTGTGACCTTTGCGAGGTCATGGACTGGACTGCTCAGATAGCTCTGGACTTTGAATTGTGATTAAAGGGTATGACTTTAAAACAATAATATAATCTTCACATGTCATCAACACCATTGATCAAGTCAGTTTGTTAAACTGATACCAATACCACCTCTTTAAACAATCAATTTGTCAATATTGGAAAGAGAACGTTCTTAATTAAATTAGATTTAGACCCATGGACTGCATCTAATATAATATTTTTTTAACGTGACTTTACAATAAAACGATATCAGGTGCAAAAATGTCCACCAGTGTACAGTGATGTAACATTATGACTATCCTACATTTCCACCTTTTCATCATAATCATATTCATCACACGTACTACAGATTCAGATTTATCTTAAGTAAATAACATTTTAAATTTGAAATAAATTGCACAAATAAATCAAATAGATTTAAAATGTGAAAATTCACTTTATCTACCTAAATGCATGTTATAGATCTTATTGAATGGATCATCCATGTATTTTTTTTTTCTTGTAATGTTTAATCGAATTTTAGTTATACCCCCATTTCAAAATTCAATCAACTACTAATTTATAGACACAAGTCCCCACTCTACATTTTGTTTTTTGATAATCTGGTACTTCACAATTCAGAGTAAAAAATCTGTTGCTTTTTTTATTTCGTTGTGACTTTAAATTTGAGTTGTATCAACCTCTTACTAAAATGCATAAAAGAGCAAAGAACATGAACTTTAAAATTTTTTTTTTGCTTGCTGCGTAATTTCAATGACTAATTTTAAGTGTTTTGATTAACATTTATTAAATTATGCATTAGCATACATATAAAATGTTTCTGCGAGTGATGTTTTCCGGGTGTGTGAATTAAGAATGAGACGAGTGTATCTTAAGCAGTGATGCCTGGCTGGGATCATGCCTGTTTGTACAACATCTCCGTCTCTTCAGAAATTACATTAAAGCCTTCTGACCATAGTTTAATCATGTTACTAGTCCAGCCTGGTGCTGTGTGTAACATCCTTTCCATCTCTGTCAGGTCTGGGGTTTAATATAGTCGGTGGAGTGGACCAGCAGTATATAATGAATGACAGCGGAATCTATGTGGCAAAAATCAAAGAAAACGGAGCAGCCGCGCTGGACGGACGTCTGCAGGAGGGAGATAAAGTTATTGCGGTAAAACCACTGTAATTTACTGTACAAACTCAACAAATTATACTTTACTCATGCTTAATTCTTGAATATGGCTGTACTTAACTTGTGAACCAAAACTATCTCTTCACCTGAGCAGAAAGGGGTCCATTTTTTAAGAAAAACATTAATTAAACTTTACATACTGTATATAAACGTTTCGAGTCAGTAAGTTTTAACCAAGGGTGCATTTATTTGTTAAAAGAAAAACATAATATTGTGAAATATTATTTTAATTTAAAATAACTGTTTTCTATTTGAATATTTTAAAAAATGTCATTTATTCCAGCTGAATTTTCATACATGCACATATTTCAAAATAAATGATGAGTACATGATTGTTTCGTGTAGATAAATGGCCAGAAGTTGGACAATCTGTCTCACGGTGCAGCAGTGGAGCTGTTTCGGTCTGCAGGCGAGGATGTGTATCTTCGCGTACAGCAGCGAGTAAGTACTGCTGGCCATCGCAATTGACCTATGGCTAAGCCACGCCCCCCCCACTCACTCGGACACACAGTCAACATTTGGGGACAGGCGCTATGGCAGCTGTCACAGTAGGAGACATTTCAGAGGAGGCAATTGGTGACAGAAAGATTATATATCATCTTGAAGTCACCTAAAGGGCCTTAACTATGCATTGGAGGGTTATATTAATAATTTTATTGTGAGAAGGTCGATGAAAAGCTTCAATTCCAGGCAAAAATGTGATAAACATGATAAACCGCATATCGTTGCTATCACCGTTACAGTATTTACATGAATCACTCAGCACAACATTGTTAATTATCTTGGTTATTTAATGACACTTTAATGAAGCTAAGTGACGCGATGTACAGTGTAGCTAGAAGCTAATGTTAAAGGGTTAGTTCACCCCAAAATGAAAAATCTATGTTTTAATCAAACAAGATCTCATTCCCCATTGACTACCACTATGGTAGTCAATGGGGAATGAGATCTGTTTGATTAAAACATTCTTACAAATATCTTCCTTTGTGTTCAACAGAACAAATAAACACATAGAGCTTTGGAACAACATGAGGGTGAGTAAATACTGACAGAATTTTCATTTTTGGGTGAACTAACCCTTTAACGTTTTCTGATGTTAGGCTACGTTAGAGATTTTAAAGATAATGTTCAAATATGTTGTTGACTTAACTTTGAACAGATGTTGACAACCTTGTTTAATTTATCCATGTTTAGTTGGTCTTGTGGTCTACCGCATAACTTAATCCAGAGCAGACACTTATCTTGGTTGAGATGTGGCTTGGGAAGTGTAAAAAACATACACACCGTCGCCCAGCCTCTCAGGATCCTTGTGTCGGAGTCGCATGTACCCCATGGACACCGTTTGACCATTTTAAACTTAAAATGACAAGAAAAAACTAATGAAAACTGACTAACTGCAGTGCATTTCAATGGACGTGGAAGCAGAGAATGTCCGAGTGCATTGGGTTAGCTGCGCACTGTGATTGGCTCATCGCGTTTGAGGTTGTGGCTTAGCCATAGGTCAATTGTGATGCACTGTAGATTACAACTGTCAATCAATCAGCTTCACTTACATGTGTTTATATATGTCTACAGCCAACTCTTCAGAACGGCCCCACAAGCTCTCGTACCGATGGAGAATCTTCATCTGCTTTCGGTACATGGACATTGTATACTGTAGTCGCCCTGGCAGTAGTAACGGCAGGTTTCATCGCTTTCAAACGCCTTCAGCTGAACCACCGGGGGCCCCGGGGCCCGTTTTAACCCATCACATTTTATAGACTAAAGCTTTTTTTTTTTTTTTTTTTTTTTTCGCCCAAACATAACCGGGGAGTGAAAATGGAAACCCAGTTAATGGAAGCAGAAAGTGTAAATTTTCTTTAATCGTTTATGCCATGTTATGATGACACGCATGTAGCTGTAAAATATTTTCACGAATAATTTGGTGATAATCATTGGCGTTTAACCAGAATACCCAGCATGCCTGATGACATCACATGGTGGAATAAGGGAACAGGGATGATGAACACAGTGTTTGGATCAACAGCTGCAGAAATCTCTGTAATCCGAACTAGAGAGAGGGGCCGCAGGCAGGAGACCTAGGCCGAGGTGGAGCTGTGTTTCTGGGCAGAAGACAGACAGACCCACGGTGGAATGATTCGTCTTGTACCTCCAGAGAGTGCTTGAATGAGCCTGAGGTTGTACGATTAGATCTCGGGTACCTGCTTGTGCAAGAGTATGTTCGAAATGATGTGGGTTGAGAGTTTTTTCTTTTTTTAAATACTTTAATTTCTCACTCATCCATGTTGGAACATGCAGGATGCATTTCAGTGGCTGGAGTAGAGTGGTCTTTCAGTTTGTTTATTTGCCATCAGTGCTTGGCCGTGTATTTTCTCTTCTTCCCTCAGGGGAATAAAAAACTAAATGTGGCACTTGTTAGAATTCACAATCAGAATGAAATTGTTGTATTGTTCATGTTGTATATGGCCTGTGTTTCTGGAATCGTCTTGTACACAATTTGTTTTTTTCTTCACCACAGCTCGTGCCTGGCCAAGTTGAGCTGCTGGTCTCAGCGTGTCTGTAGTTTAGGGGTGGCATCTCTGTTGCTTCTGACTGTATCTGTCCTGTAACTGACAAATGTGTTTGTGGTGTCATGGCTGATCTTCTGCAGGTCTGTGTGGATGGAAAAACGCATGTAAATGCCATGCATGAAGTGCTCATTCACGTTTCACAGTTCAAATAATGTTGGATTCACATGCATCAAGCATTGAATAAATCATTTATTTGAAAAAACAATTTACTTTTTGCTTCTTGGTATTTGAAATATTTGTAAAAACGGCAAAATCATTGATTGTAATGACACTGACATCTATATATGCTAGTGCATCTTTTACATTTTAAGATGTATAAATTACAATTAATGTATTATGAATGAAAATGATTTTACAAGTGTTTATAAATTAACATTGACCTAGATTAATGGTTTCTTTAAAAAATTAGCCTACCGTTAAAAATTCATTGTGATATGATACAAAATGCATTAACTAATTTTAACAAGGAGAACCGTATGGTAAAGTGTTATTATTGAGGGTCTGAAATAGTCCGTTTTTGTTAAACATTTTTTTGCGGAGTGACAAGTTGAAGTGATAGTTTACCCAAGAATTAAAATTCTCACATCACACGCATGACCAGCGTTGGCCAATAGTGAGCCTACCTGTGACGTACAACATAGAAGCGTTGCTAGTTACACTACGTGAACTAACTGGAGGCCAACCGACAAAGTAATCTCGTCACTTGTTCAACGATGTCTTTAATAACTTTTGGTCCGGCAAGTTTGGCTTAGAAGCCTATGGTGGAGGGATCCAGCTCTGTTTTAATAAAAAAAAATCTTAATTTGTGTTCCAAAGATGAACAGTTGCACCTCAATGCAGAACATGAGATCCACGGGGAGGAGTCGGATCACGATCCAAGGGGTGGAGATGGGTAGGATTAGGGTTGGGTTTAGGGATCAGGGGGCGGAGTTGGTTATGTTTAGGTGTATGTAAAGGCCAATTTATACTTCTGCGTAGGGTGCGCGCAGTAGGTACGGCGTAGCATACGCACAGACGCGTCCCATACCGCGTACCCTTCGCCGTCGCCTGACGCGTATGGCGCTCGCTTTGTGTCATTCGATTCCTAGCCAAGCTTAAAGACGTGTTAACGTGCGTGTGGAGAACGTCTGTGCGTTTTAACGACTGCCTTTCTGGACGTCTGCCCGTCTTAACGTCTGGAGCTAGGCTATCTCCATTCAGCTTTTTTTAAATTATTATTATTCAGCCAATGACTGAATGGCGATCCGTCTTAAGTTCTGGTTTTCTATCGTTGTTAGGACTATGTTGTAGCCTAGCTCATTTCGTTTTCATAAAGGGGGCCAAGTATTTTTTTATTATGATCGGAGAAACAGACTTCTCACCAAAACAACGTAGGCCTATTATTACTGAAGTAGCTAGATAGTCCATCATACAAACTAGACCACAGCATTATAAATATAATAATGTTTCAATGTTTCGTTTTGTGTAATAAAGCATATCCTATAGCATAGCCTATCTTTCTGACAGGCGGAGGGTGAACCAAGACGCTCTTCCCATTTAAAAACAAGTTTTTAAGTTACTTTTCACGTGACTGTCCGCTCAATATCCGATCAGTTTCACATTTGTCTAAATATTACAATGCTTTTGTTATTTAATTTTCATTTATGTTGATTATGAACAGTGAACAGCATGAGTAAGAGCAACATATAGGATGCGATATGACGGGAGACAAGTGGGTCAGACATGATTTTGACCACTTCATTAAGTTTTGTTTTGTAGAAAGACTTTCTTTAAAGTGAATTTCGTTTTGTATCAATTATGCACGAGCATGCATGGGAATAGGCTATACAGGCTAATAATAATACAAAAAATATAGATATAGTAGAGTGGCAGTGGGTGGAATTATATTGTGAAATTCTATGTTATAAAAAAATCGTTATAACGAGTTGTAGCCTAAATCCCGAAATAAAGGAGCTCGGCCAAACAAATATGAAACCACTAAAAATAAATATAAAACCGCCAGTAGATGGCGGCAAGGCACTGTTCTATTGACATTACTGGTTATTGTTCAAACTATTCTTTCAAAAAACAAAAAACAAAGAGGCTATATATTTAATATCCACAGAACTACTCCTTTAAGACAATTGCAATTGTTCTGCTGTGGTGATGTTTGGAACAATTTTTTTTTTTTTATTGTGTGAAATGTCATTACCATATAGTTTATTTACAGGCATTCTGGTTTTCTAATGATTTTTTCAAAAGCTAAAGACTGCTCATTACAGAAATATTAAAATAAATATTTACAAATGTGTTTTTTACTTGGTATTTTTTCTCAACTTTTGGTCTCAATTGGCAGTTAATTTTCATATATTGCGGGTTGATATTTTCCTAATTATGTTACCCAGTTAAACATTATGTGAATTTAAAGTGACTGCGTTATACGTAAATTGAAATATAGCTAGCCTAAATATATATGCCGTTGTTGGTTCCAATGACATGCTACATTTTAATGTTTTAATGACAGCAAGCATTTCTTGGCTATAAATTTTGCATTTCACCAATGAAAGGTAAAGCATTAAATCAACCAATGATCAACCAGTTCTCTGAAGTAGCTCAGAGGTGCATCTCATGAAGCTTCATCTGGATATCTGGGAAATACTGAACAAGTACACTTTCATATCGACAACATCAATAAGCATTTTGAATATCTTGTTTGTGAGCAAATACACAAGGACTATTCAATGGTACTGATATGTTAATTTACATACCACTTTTGAGAGATGAACTAAGGATTTGAGGAGGTACAGGCTTTTGCAGGCAATCCATGTGGGACTGCTATAATTATTTTGAGAAATGCATTTACTGGTTTGCAAAACTTAAGGATGATTCAAGAAACTACCAAAGTGACTGAGAAAAACTGTAAAATGACATTGAAGGCAGTATGTGCAAAGGGATTTAGTGAATGGATAAACATGATTTCATAAAGTACAATGTTCCTGAATCAACATCCTTTTTGATCATTGAGCAATATTACTACAACTAGATTTGAGGAATAAGTGTACAGTTAATGTCAATTTTCAGGATAGCTATAACCAGCAGTGTGAGGTTTACACAGCCTAAATGTTTGATTGTCGGCTATAGACAATTTATTTATTATCAGAGGAGTTTTCGCAGGAGTTCCATCAGTCGCTAAATAAAAAGAGCATACTTTGTTCTCTTTCTTTAAAATCTATTCACACTTTAAATAAAATAGTTTTGTTTGTCATAAATGGAAAGAGTGAATCCAAACTGTTCTGTGGGTCAGTAATTTCCTATTTAGAAAGTGGAGATGGTCAAATAAATGCTGCTCTGCTGCCACCTACTGATTAAAGTGTTCATCTCATCTTATTCTGTTTAAAGTGTTTGTTTTTCCTGCAGGTGAAAACTATGCAGCGTTTGCTCCTCTTACTGTATTTATATGGGCGGTCAACTGTTTTGCCTGACTTGGGCGAGATTTTTGTATGCTCTCAACGGTAGCAAAAAATGTGTAGTATGACTAGACGACATTTATAGGCTTTATAAAAACTTTAGTGTAGCTCTATTAAATAGTACATTTATGTTAAAACATTTTTAATTTGAATGATTAATTACTTGTTCAGAATAAGAATAGCAGTAGCCTGGTCCAAGCAATCACAGGCTAACTAATTTTAGTTTAAAATCCAATAAACTCTAAAATGGTTTCTGAATGGTTAATTAATGCTGGATGCAGCATGAGTGAACTCGAGGCATGCAGACTGTTGCTGGCTTGCTGCAGAGCATTAACACATCTGAAACACACTAATATATAATGATAAGACTCAGTTTTTCTGAATTTTTTAGCCCATTTTATTTTTTTTATCTCTGAAGATCGAATAATCAAAATACATGCCATAGACTTTTATTAAAAAGTTACATCTATCATTGGGATACCAAATGTATGGTACATTACCAGACATTCAGCATTATAAAAATAAGTGTATCGTAGTCCTACATAAAATGTGCCAAAATAAGTCTTGTTTGTAAACTTAGATTGTGGCAGACGTGCAGACGGGCAGACGTGCAGACGTTCAGACGTGCAGACGTTCAGACGTGCAGACGGGCAGACGTTCAGACGTGCAGACGGGCAGACGTTCAGACGGGCAGACGTGCAGACGTAATCCACACGTTAAACTTTTAACGTGACGCCGCCGTGACGTCTGCATAGATCAACAGCTACACGTTATTGACGCGTCTACGTGACGTGATATTTGCGTGTACGTCTCCATATAAAACAAATGGAGACGTACACGCACGTATTCACGTGTCCTATCTGTCTTGCTTGTCAGTCTCGTCGCCGAATGGAACATTCCGAGCGCCATAGACGCGCACCTCTTCAAAAATGTAACTACACTACACGTCGCGACGACGCGGACCGCAAGATCGGTGATTGGTCGGCTTGGTAGCATCGTATTTCCTCCTATGCATTTCCGCACGTACCATCTCCTCCGACGTCTTCTCTCATTTCTGCCTTTCAGTTTTAGTAATTTCACTAAAATGAACTGTTTTTCCACCCCAATAAGCTCCTACTCCAACATGATCCACTCTCTTCCAATCGCTATTGCTTGTAGTAACCTAGCCGCGAGGAATCTAAACACAGTGGAACATTAAAACCCTCCGCCGCCTCCTAGCGTTTCGGAGCAGTACTGCAGAGCAACCAATACCTGAACGCAGAAGTATAAATTCCGCAGTGAGGACCATCTCAAGATGAACGAAAGTCTTACGGGGTTGGAACAACATCAGGGTGAGTGATTACTGACAGAATTTTCATTTTTGGGGTGAACTAACGTTATCCCTTTGACCTTCAATCACACTTATGTTTTCATCCAACGTTGTGAATTTAAGGCAAACTTGGAATAAAGCAGTTTCCATCCCATGTGTTTACAAAATCTTCACATTTTTTAGGTGCAGTGAATGAAATTCGTCTGCTGGTCTGGTACATCCAATCACATCCACTGTTGACGCAAAGTCACGTGATTTATTTGGTAAAGGAGTTTCCTTTGTAGTTTATGCGCATGTCGTTTTTTCATATATAAAATGAAAAAGCGCATTTTTTGAATGTATGGGCATCTTGGCGTTTCCATCCATCGTTTTTATGTAATGTAATATCCCAAAATAGGCACACAGAAGAAGCTCCATAAGTGTCTTCACAGACCCCTTCCAGATTTCACA